AGACGTCTGTATGTGGTGGTTCTTGATGCACTGACACCAGCCTCAGTCCACTCCTTATGAAGCTCCCCCAGATTTCTGAATCGCCCTTGCTTGACAATCCTCTCAAGGCTGCGGTCATCCCTGTCACTTTTGCACCTTTTCCGGCCACATTCTTCCCTTCTTCTTAACACTCTGTTAATATACTTTGATACTGCGTTCTGTGAGCATCCAGCTTCTTTTGCAATTGCCTTTTGAGACTTTTCCTCCTTATGGAGGGTGTCAATGATGGTCGTCTGCACAACCGTCAAGTCAGCAGTCTTCCCCATGATTCTGAAGCCTACTAAGCCAGACTGAGACAATTTTAAGGCTGAGGAAACCTTTGCAGGTGTTTTGCATTAATTATCTGACTAGATTGGGACACAGGGAGCCTACAATGTTGAACTTTGTCATGATATTCTAATTTTGTGGAATACTGGATTTGGGTTTTTTGTCTTTAATCCATAATCATCAAAATTGAAACAAATAAAGGCTTGAAATATTTCACTTTGTGTGCCGTGAACTAATATAACATACAAGTTTCACTTTTTGAAACAAATTATTGAAATAAATGGACTTTTCCTCGATATTCTAATTTTTTGGCACATACCTGTATGTTCTACATTGTGCATCTTTAATGAGATGTCACAGTTTGTACGTGCCCTACTGTTGTGTGGCATGTTTGTTGTTTCTCTTTGTGCGTGATTAAACAGTGAGCACTTCAGTGGCCTGTTTAAGAAGCAGGTTTTACTACATTTACTTGGATACTTGCACTGAGGACAAGCTCTCAAACCTGGAACCTGGGCGATAGAAGTTCAGGAGTGATGAGGTGGACATACTGTATGATTAATAGGCAACTCCTGAATATATTTTAATTATCAAATTTAATGCCTAAGATGAGGCTTTTCTTTTTATTATTTTTATTAATTACAAAATCACAGCAAATTCAAACATTGTTCAGTAAAAGCCATTTATTATGTGACTCATTTGAAGTAACAGCAGCAGAGGCGCAAATATTGCACCATTAAGAAGAGCGGGCATGTGTCCAGGGTCTGATGTCATCTCTGATGCTTTTCTCTGTGTTTTTGCATCGATCCTATTCACCCTTGTATAAATACTGAAAACAAGAGTTCCCATCAGTTGTATCAGTATGTCAGGGATCGATCTACCCACCCCTGATGGCATTTTTTACATGTTTGTGTTGCCTTTGACATGAGTAGCAGAATGTCCTGGTTTCTTAAAAAGTCCGCGTTGCTCTGCTTCTCTCTCTTCCTTCAGGTGAAATAGATCGATGTCTGAAAAAAGTAGCGGAGGGAGTTGAGCAGTTCGAAGACATTTGGCAAAAGGTAAGAAAGGAGTATTATTAGGACTGCAACAAATGATTGTTTTCACTAGGGGTGTGACAATACACTTGACTCATGAGACGATACACGATATTGGGTCAACTCGTCACAATGTGGCTGTATCACGCCGACAACATCCCCCTACAGCCCCTTAAAAACGGCCATCATTTCCTGTATTTTCTTTTCTTTGTCCAATTCACAACCGAAAACCCTGTTTAATGCTGTTTTTGACCAGAATGTATCACTAGCTTGACCCTTCCTCTGTTCCTTGTTGTCCACAGCTTCACAATGCAGCCAATGCAAACCAGAAGGAGAAATATGAAGCCGACCTCAAGAAAGAGATTAAAAAACTACAGGTAAATGCAGAGAAATGAAACAGATCTAAGAATCAAAGCCACAGAGTTCCTCTAAGTAGTTTTCCACCTGAAGCGTTGCTGGTTTAGTTGATAGCTACAGCAGATCAGAAGGAAACGGTGTCCTTTAAGTATTGTTGTACAGAACAGAAACAGGTTTGGAGCAGCAGGGTGCTATAGTTGTTTTTCTGCATTTTAACACCATCTCAGCAAATATCTGTCACTTTCTGATTAAAGAAACAGAAATTTCAACAAGTCCTTAAATGATGGATTGTCTCAGAAAAATGTGCACATAGGCCCTTATGGGAAAGTCTGGAGTCAGTAAACATTTAATACACCAGTGCAACAACATTAGTAAATGAAGATTTATGTTCCATTGTAAAGCTCAGCCTCACCTCACCAGTTTAATGCTGTTATTTTTGCTGTATTCTCACACATCCTGTGATCCGCAGGAGTTCGCTTATTGAAACCTGGTGTAATTCAACTCAGCCACCAGTGCAAACTGCTTTCTTAACCGCCTACCTGTTGTCACTGAGAAAACAAGCTCTGACATCACAAAACCAAGAACCTGCACAGTGCTTCCATGTACAGAGGAACAAGTCATACAGATATACAGTAGATAAAGAATGGCACTGTGTGTTGTGAACCAGGATTCTCAAGTATTTCACATTTGACTTTGGCCCTTTAGCGATGTGCTCCTGGAAAAATCACACTAGCATGTTCTTACACAGTTGTTTACTCAGCCTCTTTGAGCAGCCTCAGCAAGGCTCACGCTGACTCCAGGTCTATATGTTTATAGGAATCCACACACATAATTGAGGGGTGACTCTGACCAGAAAAGCAGTCACATCACTTTATTACCCAGCTGCCAGTCACGGTGCCTGTGTGGGGGTTGAATGATGTATTCAACAGTTTTTGTTGACCAGCCTGTGCACACTGCGACAATCAGAACCAATTGTTACATTTATATTTGGTTGTAAAGCTTCATTGTACAACAGAAAACACAAAAAGACAAAACTGATGATTTTGTCTGTTTGTTATTTCCCAGAAATCCCACTAACAATGAATGTGAGGACAGTCACTGTATGGTCACCGGTATATGTGAATCCAGAATCCGGTTTAGCTTATTGCTGTGTGCTGTAGACTGTTGTTGAGCACTGGGTGACAACGCAGTGGTGTGGCTCACTGGCTTTGGACAACAGTGGAAGTCTACGGCACAGACCTAAAGCTAAACCAGGTTCTGGATTCATACACAGTACGGCGTGCACACCACATTCATTGTTGCTGTTAGTCTGTGGTTGTGACCCTTGGAAAATAACAAAAACATAGAACGGCTGCATCATAAATGTTGCTCCCTCAACAAATTTTATTGCCACAGTTGTGTCGACAATTAACTGAAGGACAAAACTCACAAAATGTGGTTTATGGCCAGACTGATGGAGTGCTGGCACCTACATAGACAGGACATACACTCAGTTCAGACAGGGGAATCCAGCAGTCCTGCAGTAAATCCTCTTTCATGAAGGTGAAACTGTTGCATTTTAGGAACTGAAAATGGACGAAAGGACAGAGATTGTTTGCTGATGTGAAATCATTTAACCTGCCCACAGATAGAGGTATGTGTGCATGTGCCAGTGTGCATGTTTGCTGGTGGAGTATTAAATATCATAACGGACAGACAGAAGCAGTGTTTGTTCCTCATCCTGATGTTACCATGAGGACTGAACTCCAAGCCAAGCCTGTCGGCTGTATGAAGTTCATCATCAATGACTGTGGAAGACGAGTCTCTGCACATATCACAGAGTTCACTGCTGTATCTGTGTGTCTCTCTCTGGCTTTCCTTATCTCTCTCTCTCCCTCCCCCACTCTGGTCCTCTCCCTCTTCTTCCTGTGACCCTCAGCGTCTTCGAGACCAGATCAAGACCTGGGTGGCATCCAACGAGATCAAAGACAAAAGGCAGCTAGTAGAGAACCGCAAGCTCATAGAGACGGTGAGTAGGAACTGAGGAGAGAGGAGAGGTCATGGTCATTATAACGCTCCCTCCAGGACTTTTGTCTGCTCTGGAGGATTGTGTTTGTTTTGAACTCTGGAGTCTTGAAAAGTCTAAAAAAAAAAAAAAAAAAAAACTCCAGGTACAAATATATGAAGCCTATCAGAATTGTTCTGAAATAATTTGCCAAAGGTAACAGCAGTAAAACTGTCATATGTAGGGCAATGACACAGCTCTGTCATTGACATGTCAGGATAAAGGGACACAGATGACCAATAACAATGTATTGGCTGATATTTAACTTCCATTATTGAATGTGTTTTGGCAATTTAGCTGCTGGTAGCACTTGATATACTGCAATATACTGGTATTTTATTTGTGTTGATGTTTGTCCTTCATGTTCCAGAATCAGTCAGTTCAGTTTTGGCATTGAACAAAGACCTTTGCAGTATAAACGTTACTGAAGATTTTTACTGAATAACTGCAATTTTACCTGTGTCATTTTTCATTAAAGGCTAAAACAGAAACATTTTTTATTCAGAAGTGCAAATACAGTAGAAAAAGACAGGCTGCATATTATATGTAATGCCTAAATTCATAAACGATACTGCTTGTCAGCAGAATGTGGGTTATAACATTTAATGGCAACAATATGCAAAATTGTCTCACCACATTTAGCATTGAGACAACAAACAGTATGAATAAAGAGCACATTTTAAAGAGTTTTAAAATAGATACATAGTTGAAAAAGCAATATAACAGTTTATTGTTAAAAAAAAGAACAAAATAAGCTCTATGATTTGAAAATGAAATGCACACCCTGTAGAGTTTTAGGACAGTTAAAAGTACTTGGTATTTTTCCATCTTAATAGATAAAAGTAGCCGATGTTTTCACACCTAAACATAAACATTTTACATGTCTGTGGAAACTAGCTGTGTCTTTAAAACAGGACAGACTCAAAGGGATCTTGCTCCAAGTGTGTCAGTAAATCATGGACAAACGTCAAGACACAGGCACCTGGAGCAGAAGTTGTGCTTTGAATCCCTGCTGGTTTTGCAGGGTTTAACAGTCTGCAGTGGTTTGATGTAAATAAAAAGCCACTTTTGCAACCCTCCTAATCATGAACCAGTATTGATTCAAATGTTATTCAGCGTGTTAAAACTTTTATATTTTTGTATTTATTTATTAAATTAATAGTCAGGCAGAATAGACAAGCCATAGAAGAAGAAAAAAAAACTGTGTGCATGAGCAATGATTGTCACCAGAGCTAACCAAGTTCAGATACTTAGATTTCAGTAACAAAAGATCTAGTACAAAAACACCAATAACAGACTAAAGATGATGCCAGAATAATTTCTCAGATGCAAATAAAGAACTGTGCCCAGGAGATGCTCATTACAGCATTCTTCTCAGAGCTAGGGAGCATGAGAGCTGCTCTGACATCTGACACCTGTTCTTTAGCGTCACCGCCCTGCCCGTCAGGCCGCAGAGCCACACGAGCCTTTGATGAGGCTTATTGAGATGGACTGAATGGCAGCCACCTGCCTTCACAATAAGGGACCAGAGCAGAACCCCAGATCTCCCTCTGATCTTAATGAGTTGGTTTTGATCCCCAAGCTGCTCTTCAAGTTTTCCTGTGGTTTTGTTGGTTAATCTGAAATTACACGTTCGGTCAAAGGGGTCCTCCTGCAGGAAGTGGACAGGGTCTGTTAGAAACATCTTGTATCGACTGTTGGATGCTGAGATAGAGATACAGGATGTGACCAGAGTAAAGAAGTCCTGTAAAATCTGTATAATTCTTAGGGTTGTAACGATACCAAAACTCACAGCATATTGTTACGAGAAAAAGCTCATTATGCGATCTTTGTCGCGATAATAAAAAATTATGAAAAAATCTTTTACTAAATAATAAATCTGCATTTTTTTTTACTTAAAGTGCCCCTGCTTTCCTTAATTTATTAAAATAAAAGTAGCCAGCCATGACCTGGTTATGTGCACAAACTTGACATGAATAATCATTGTCACAGAACGACTGAATTCTTTGTACAATAGCAAAACAAGAAAATATATAATGCAGCATCTAAATAAACAAATAGACAGATAGATAGATAGATAAGGGTCCTATAAACAAAACAAGTTACACTCTTAGTATCCATTATAGGCCTGCTAGGTTTTACTTTTCCTGTTTGGTGGCCGCGCAGACCGGTGGATTTGAAGCGGGTATCCTGCCCCCGACCACTAGGGGCAGTAGAGCATATTGCTGCTTAGCGCACTAGAATGAAGGGAAGAAGACGCTAAAACACTCGGTAAAGTTAATTAAAGGTGAGCGTTATGCTTTACTGGAGATGATTTTCAAACACCGGGGTTTACTTTTCAAGAAAAGACTTTAAGGGTGGCAACTAAGTGGCTGGCGTTGCATTTGTGCGCACGGTTTGTTTGCCTATCTCCGCTAAAGCGTTGCGCACAGCGTGTCCCGACTGTTTCTGCCAGATGTATCCAGGACTGTCTAGTAGTGCCGTCCTCCCCCAATAATTACAAATTGTTTGCGTTTGTCAGTCTCCTTTCTGCTTGTGTCATTTCTTGAAACAGGAAAACTGAAATTCTGCCACACAACAGACCAAAAAGTGGACGATGTTTTTGTTTACAGGACCCTTATCTATCTGTTTATTTAGATGCTGCATTCTATATTTTCTTGTTTTGCAATTGTACAAAGAATTCAGTCGTTCTGTGACAACCCGCTATGTCATTTCCAAATTCTGCGACCTGAATGCGGTTATCATAGCGAAATTACCTTTTGCAATATCCTGGTAGATACCGTGACAGTCACAGGGATTATTTTTTTTATCGCGATACCATGAAACCACGAAACCACGAATATCGTTACTTCCCCAATAATTACCTCCCTACATTATTCATTCTTATTTATTTTATCATTACATCATATTTATTTTATCTGGTTTTTGTTTTAATCATTTTTACTGATGTTTATTATTTTACAACCTTTCACTGAATTTGTTTTATCTCCATATTGTCATTTATTTGTAAAGCACCTTGAATTGCATGAACCTGTATGAAAGGTGTCTCATAAATAAAGCTTGAGTGACTGAGGCTTTGGACGTGTCAGGATCCAAGCTGGATGTTGAAAATCACAGCTGTGGCTTTGGACACAGAGGAGAAGAGGCTGTAACAATGTTCAGTAACAGATTCTTTGTGATCTTGTTTTATTTCCACTCTGCTCAGTGGACTTAAATAGTTCCTCCAGTGCAGGTCTCCATGTGTCTATTTTACAGCTCCAGTGATGTTAGGGTTGTTTAAAAGCATATGAGAAATTATTTTTTTCTGGTTTATATACACTCACTGGTCCCTTTATTAGGTACACCTGTACAAGCTAATGACGGTCAGCACAACAGATCTGCCACTAACTCTGCTTTTGTTTGTGTGCATGATTTCTTTACATTGTCATGGAGGGTTTAACTGTAGTGTAGCATTGATACTATAGATTTATTACTTGATTTAAAATATGATTTACATTGGCACAAGAATAGCCTTTAATAATAATATTTTTTGTCTTTTTGTTTGCTTGTTTTTCT